TGAGACTGGGACCCGTCATCACCCATGATCACCCCAACACCTGATACGGTCGGAGTCGGACAGCATACATATTACTGACCTGACCAGTGCAACACCTGTGACTGTCACCCATGAGTCAGGACAGCTGCTATACCCAGGAGTCAGGACACAGACAGACCCCGATCTCCGCCGACTGACTGTTCACACAGGCCTTGCCTTTGACCCCCAGCACAGTGAGTCAGACTCCGAGACTGTGGGAGGAGCCTGCTGCCTGCGTGAGGAGTGACACTACAGGCGGCGCGGCCGCACATACGCACGGGCGGCCACGGAGAGAGTCCGAGTCTGACCGGACCGCAGCAACAGAGACCCGCCAAATCCCGCAGTGGCATAATAACCGGGGGGGCTCCGTCCGGTGCCCCCCCTCAGCAGACACACCGGCCGCCCCCCCGGTTGTTACGCCACTGCTGTCGCCCACTAATACATGGCAGTGAATGTCCTGCCTGGAGAAACTGCTGCTTTGTGTCTGGTCACATGACCAAACGCCTGGGCATTTGGTCATGTGATTGCTGCCAAAGGGAAAAAAATCTGCCAGGTTGAACTGGTTGAGCCATGAAGCAGTGGTCAATGTAAATATGTTTTGGCTTCTGCTGCTGCTTAGGGACCTGATTTACTATGAGGTAAGTGTTTTCCCCCATAGTTCTCTTAAGGGTTACGGGAGGATATATGGTGGGCTCTGGAGGGTCACTCTCAGGTGGGCTGTTTGGGATATCAGGTGGGTGTAACTAGAAACCACAGGGCCCCATACAAAATTTTGCTATGGGGCCCTGTGATTTCTAGTTACGCCCCTGCATTAAAAGAGAACTATGAGGGGGGGGGAGGGGGGTGCTTTTCACTCACCTCATAGTTCTAGCCGACCTGTGACAATGAGACTGTCACAGGTCGGCTCACTAGATCGGGAAGTGAGCGAACACATACCGGCGTTCGCTCACCTCTCGATCCCGTCACGGCTCTCTGCCGTGACAGGGGGAGGGGCTGGATTCCCCCCTCCCCGCTCCGATCCTCCAGTGCTGACTGGCGGAACGGACGGGGGAGGGGGCGGGTACAGCTGGCTCTGCCTCTAGATAGGCAGAGCCAGCTGTCACTCACGCAGCTGGGCCGATCCCGGCATAATTGTCGGGATCCGCTTCAGCGTCTAAGTATACCGCCTACTGTAGCTGGCTGTATACTGAGGCATCTCAGTATACAGCAAGCCGTAGCTCGCAGTATGCTGAGCTTAGGGTGACGGGAGGACGCTAGTTTGTGTCCTCCCGTTACACTAAGGAGAACTATGGGGAAAAACACTGACCCCATAGTTCTCCATTAAGGGTTTAGCTCTACTTCAAATACAGCTTGAGGTTGTCCTCAGTATTTAGATGGGAAGCTTTGCAATGGCGATCATCTTTCTTTGAAGGATAGCTGCACTTCAAAACAGAGTACATATATCCTTTATGCCCCTTTCTCCTGACCTGACCTGCCACCCCCTGTCCACAAATGCATACTTAACTCAATCTGACGGCAATGGTTCCGCTGTTTGTTTACATCCAGCACCGTAAGTCTTCACTGACCCGGCCGCGCCTGCACATTACTGCCCGCACATTTCTATAGGGCTGTGTATTGAGTCTGGAGACAATCCTGTTAAATCCTATGGGGATGTAATTTTGATGGTGCGCCCAGGACAGTGATGTCTTACAGCGCTCCATGTAACAAACAGCGGAACCATGGCCGTCGGATCGGGGTAATTATGCAACTGTGCATGGGGGGGGTTAGGTTAGGCCATAGGAAGGGGGTAAAAAGAAAAAGTGCACTGATCCTTATAAAGCTGCCATTACAGACACAATGGCTACATCGGCCATCTGTGAGGTGAATTTGGCTTCATGGCTTTTTTTTTTGTTACTTTCTTTTCACATAAAACCCAAAATGATATAAACAATCACTGAATAGGGCAGTCACAGCTCTGTGTCTCGTCTGACGGTCACCTCAGGACGTGTCTCTCCTGCTCGGTCTGTTCCTCGAATGGCACGGCGCTGTGGCACACCAATAATGATACATCAAAGTCATCATGATGTCGGGCACCTTCTGTGTCTTTGTACGAGCCAGAACTGCAGAGACAAGAACATACACTCAGAAAAAACAAACAGAAGAGCCGGGCCTGTGTATGCCACCCAGAGCACTAGAAGACTCAGCGCAGGCAATGGACTTCAAGCTGGTTACGAGCGTCAAATAAACCTGTCTTTAGATGAAGCTGCTTCCCACCCCAATCTGTGGATTATTGTTCCCCTGCTTCAACACTCGTACTGAGGGGAAACACAATCTACTTTCACACTTTGAAAGCTGGCAGCAGACACCATGCACGCGGCTGTGAGCTGTCAAACCAAGCTGTCACAGCTTCCTAACCAATCAGAATGATTCCCAATCATGTGATCATTCTCTCAGCTACTGTACAGCGATGGCGAGCAGGCTGGAGGCTTCATTAAGGAAAAGAACAGTTAGTAAAGAAAGCATTCAGCCTGCAGATGCCACTGTTAACTAAAAGTGGAAGTATGTCCTTTAAAACATACTTGCTGGATACAATTACATTATTTAAAAAATGAAAGAAAAAAAAAAAAGGTTCACAGTTTTGCCCAATTGTCTGTAGATTTCTATTAAAACAGTATAAACAATAAAAGACTTGTATAAGTATAACACTTATTTAGGTATGCAAATGAGGTATAGCGTCATTACCAAGTTTACCAATGGATACTGACACTGCTAAGTTTGGCCGGGGCATCTAGGCTTCAATGACCTCTGGCCATAAAGGAGTTGAAGCTACAGAGCACAGGTGATGTGTGACTCAATGACAAACCTTATCTCTTAGTAATATCACCGTACCAATGTACCCCAGAATCCAACGGGTGCCGGAACAACTGGTGGATGGCGCCACAGTATACGATGTGTTGCCCGCACACAATTCTACTTTAGAATTTTCGTATTCCTTTAGCATGACACATAGATGGAAATGACAATTCATGACAAACCTGACTCACTTGGAACCCTGGCATGATCAGTGTGCAAACACCAACTGCCAGCTCAGGAAGTCTGCGCCTCTGTGTGTTTCAATCTGTTGTCAGAGACATTCAGACCATTGCACTGGGGAATGTGTTTGGGTGCATGGAGGAATGAGATCAGATCAGTTAATATACTCATCTGACAGTAAAGATCAGTATATTAACTTTTACATGACTTAAACATAGGGAGGGTCAAACACAAAATGAACGGGCAGCAAGCAACTTGAGACCAGAGCAGTGCCGCCTTCTTCGCATACTAATGGCTGACCACTGTGTTACTTTTCAATGACTGAGCTTGGCCCCTCCCCTCCTCCTACACTTTTGTTACATAGTATTTCTACCAGTGGATGAATGATTGATGAACATGGCTATCTATGTGAACATAAACATAAATTAAATTAAAGATGTCCGATACTGGGTACTGATATATTTTTTCCGTTACTTGCCGATACCGAGTACTGAGTACCGGTGCCTTGCGCCTCGATAATCAGAAACTCAGGTGGAGGATCATGACCCGTCTCCCAGCTTCCTGATTGCCTGTGAAGCCAGTGTTCTAGGGAAAGAACACCGGCTTCAGAGGCTGCCTAGCTTCCTGACCAAACAGGAAGCCGGGCGGCGAGTCATGAGGTGCCGTCTGGCTTCCTCATTGATCAGGAAGCAAGGCTGCTAACCAACAGGTGAAGCCGGCTTCCTAGCCAATCAGGAAGCCGGGCGGCACGTCATGACCCGCCTCCCTGGTTGGCTAGGAAGCCAACTTCCCTTGTTCCTAGGCAGCCTGGCTTCCTGACCAATCAGGAAATCGGGAAGCGGGTCATGACATGCCACCCGGCTTCCTGATTGGTTAGGAAGCCAGGCTGCTTAGCAACACATGAAGCTGGCTTCCTAGACAGTCAAGAAGCCTGACGGCATGTCATGATACGCCTCCCGGCTTCATGATTGGAAAGGAAGCCGGCTCCATGCTCCCTCGGCACTGCTGGTCAGAGGGAGATCTCCCTCTGACCAGAAGTTCCATTATCGGAGGTAAGTATCAGAGCATTTGGGAGATACTAGTATCGGTGCATCCCTAGTTTTAAAGATGAGCGAATACAATGAGCTATTCTCATAATACGATCCCTCAGCAATGTACTTGGAGCCTATTCATAATCTTACACTGATATCAATACAAAAATCTGACCTGTTCCAGATGGACACCAGGCCGTACTCATTCTGCTCCCCGCTGGCGCTCCTCTTGCCATTACTCCCAAGCACCGAGGGGCGAACCATTCTCAGCGGCTTCATGTGATAGGTGCTGGCGTGATCGGCGATGTAGTTATACAGCTGATGGCCGGCAATAATCTCTGTAGGGACGGACAGTATGCCCTGGTACACGTGGTTGCGTCCATACTTGGGGATGTCAGGGTGCTGGGAAATGAAGAGCTGCAGGAAACTGGCGAGATCGTAGCCCTGGCGCAAAGACATGCTGGAGCCCAGCAGATACTGGTGCACCACCCGCAGGTGGAAATCGTAGCTGAAGGAATGGACGTGCATTAGGTCCCGCACCTTGTCACACTCCTCAGTGAAGAGCATGGACAGCTGTAGAGAAAGAGAATGGATATAATTCGTTATCTCGGGTCAACAACCGGACACAAAACTGGAAGTCTATTCCCTGTTTAGTAGAAGACGCTCTGTAACCTTAAAGAAATTCTCTTGGTAAAATTAACAATTCTTGGAAACTGAAGTCGGTAATTTCTTCCTTCAAGAAAGTGCTCTTTACATTAATGGAGGGGGGGGGGGCGCTCCATGAATATTCCCAATACTGTCCTATCCAAAGTCAGGGAAGTCTAGAATTCTGTTGCCAGATAACAAGCCGTTGAGGCAGCCTGCCCCCGGGACAAAGCAAGAGGCATCAAACCCTCAACAAACATCTTCTGCGTCATTCTAATTCTACTGGCAAGCCACCTGGTACTAGTGTTCTGGGCAACCATACTGCTACTGGTCATCCAATCAAGCAGCATAGCCAGAGAATAAGTGATCCTCTCAGAGAGATGCCTCATCCTTCAGCAATGTGATGGGCTGATTTTTTGGTGAGTTGTTTGACAACGAGCCATCAATGCATGTGATATAAAGTGTGCTACTTCTGCCAAGTCTTACAGCAAACCTGTACTTGCCCTCAAACATTTCTAGGGTAGCAGACAAGGGACCTTGTGGTGCATTGCGAGTCTTTAAATTGTCACCACTTAAATCCTAGACATAGGCTGTATATAGGGCCTCAACTGTTGCCCAAGTCCAGAACAATGTTGAAGTTGAAGTCAAGTTGAAGTCAAGCTTCATAGAGTTCAACTCCAGTCAGAAATCAGTATGCTGGGCTTGTTTAGGGCCCATTCACACCACATCCAGATCATCTCCAGACCAGACGAGATTCTTTCCGGATTCAAAATGCATCCTGATGTATCTCTATGCTATTTCTGGCCTCTGTTCACACCAGTGCAGTCTGTTCCAGACCAGAACAGAACAATACTGAATGTCTCATTTTGTCTGGTCCGGAATGCACTGGAATTGCGGGCAAGTTCACACCATTTTCCGTAACAGATCTGGTCCGGAAAATGGTGTGAACCTGCCCTTAGTCAAGGAGAGGTTTATGATGGAGGAATACTTTCCTTATTCCTCCCTTTCACTGGCAGCCATTGCTCTCCTCTGGCGGTGGGCCTTTGATGTCCTCAAATACAATGCACCGTATGTGATGACATCACAGAGGCCGCAACCGCACCACCCGCAAAGAGGAATGGCTTCATTGGACTGGTTGTACGGCTGGGGAGAGGCCTACAGGAACAGGGATTGAGGATAAGCTGTCTAAACAATGAGCAAATTTTGGCCAGTTCTTGATGAACCAACCAGAGGGTGGCCCTGTGTGCCGGCTCCTGCCAACATCCGTCAATTGAAAAATAGAAGGAGCTGGGTGGAAAATTGTCGCCCCAACAGGGCCTGCAGCCAGTCAGATGTAGCCACTGTTCAGGTTCAGGTATTTTGGGACTATCAAAGTACAATAGCCACAGTAAGAGATTCCTCCATCCACGCTGTTTAGCCCAAAAGCTGGGGAAAAAAAAAACTACTAGTGTATGTCCAGCTTAGGTATTTCTGCTAGGGATGCATTGATACCGGTTTTTCAGTATCGAGTACCAGTATTTTTTTTGGGCACTCGCCGATACCGAATACTGATACCGGAAGTCCCATTAAGGAAGCCAGGCGGCGTGTAAACACTCACCACTCGGCTTCCCGATTTTTAAGGAAGCCTTCTCCACGCTCCATTGTCACAAGGTGATGAGGGAGCATGGAGCCGGCTTTCTGGCCAATCAGGAAGCCGAACGCCGTGTGATGGCGCGTTGCCTGTTTTCCTGATTGGTCAAAAAGCTGGCCAATCAGGAAGCTGGGCAACGTGTCATTACACGGCGACCGGCTTCCTGATTGGCAGGGAAGCTGGCTTCATGCTCCCTTGTCATCAGGTGATGAGGGAGCATGAAGCCTGCTTTCTGGCCGATCAGAAAGCTGGGGGGCATGTAATGACACGCTGCCTGGCTTCCTGATTGGCCGGGGCCATGCCCCCTGGTCCACATGTGACCAGGGGGCATGGAGCCAGCTTCCCGGCCGATCAGGAAGCTGGGCAGCGTGTAATGACTCACTGCCCGGCTTCTTGATACCGGAAGCTCAAGTATCGGGCTAGGCATCGGAGCATTTGGGCAAGTAATTGCCCAAATACTCTGCATCAGCACCGATACCGATACTAGTATCGGTGCATCCCTAATTTCTTAGACTAAACAGAACCTCAGTGGTTAGTGAAGGTGCTGGTATTTGACAGGTGAATGGGTGGAGGGTTGCTTAATCTCCATCAAAGCTCCATGCACAAGCCAGGCCTAGGATTCAAGGGGGCTCCATAGGGACATTGGGTTCGATTTGAAGACGGACAAAGCTGCCAGGCACGCACACAAACTTCCCTGCAACGCTATCATTGCTGTTACCCTAGGCACTTTTTAGGCCACATCAGGTTTACCAAACTTGGACAGAAAAGGACAAATCGGTAACACATGCAGTGAAAGTTATTACACGGATCTCAGCGTTCCCCACAGACAAAGTGCTCCAACTCCTTTTATTTTATTATTTTTTCTTCCATGCCACATGTTCAGGATAAATTACTTTTTCTGCATTTTTAGCTCCAAGTACCTGCACGATTAAAAGGATTATTTCAATGGTTCGCCCAATTTCCATTACTGCTTCGACAGCCTAGGGCTCTGAAATGACAGAAATTCCCCAGCACGCCAGAAGATTTTCTTTTTTTAAACTGATTGTTAATTAACTGTACATTCAAAAGGATTACAAGAGATGCTTGAATCTTTGTAGCAGCAGACTTGAAACTGTCACGGAATTACAATAAATTCCCCTAATCTTTGTTGTGACGGATTTAAAATTGTCAGACTAAATACCTGTGTCTGTCACATTTGTCCATCACCATGAATGGACACCCCCCCCTCCCCACATTTGTACACCTCCATGAATGGAC